GAAAGTTAATCAATTAATTATGTGAAATTAGGAAATAATTCCATAATTGACCCTAATAATTATTATGAGGCTTAAATAAACATAGAAAGTGATTAATAATGTTTAAAGTCGCTTTTCTGATGAAAAGTGCAGATACCGGTTCTGCTAGTCGGTATAAATGCATACTGATAAAGTATCCCGGAAAATTATAATAAGTGCATGAATATTTCTAAAATAATATATAGGACTTGTAAAAACAGTTTGAAGTCAAAATAATGAGATTAGATGTCGGAACTAATACTGTCAGTGTTAAAATGCGTATCGAAAAAGTGTTGCGAAAAATTAATATAAAAATATGGCAAATCCTAGAAAAATGGCTAGGTTCAAAATATGAAGTTTGAGATTAAAATGATAAGCGTAGCTATTTTCGCTAATACTGTGTATTTTAACTTAAGTAGGCCTATATAAGCTCATGGCACGATGCCCTAGGTCAGAAATACATTTGTGCTACATGATTTTTTGAGTTTCCTTCATCTGCCACCTTCTCTTTTCCACTCCATAGCTTCTTCTTCACAAATTTCACCAAAGTTATCACCTTTGGTCATGGTTCCTTCACCAAAATAGTTGAGTATTGTGAGGACAAGCCTTGTGTGAGTAAAAGATCTTGATTTTCTGAGTTTAGGCTGCTGTATGAGGGGTTTTGTGGGCGGAGTTGGTGTTCCCATTGGTGTGAGCCTTTGTTCATGCCATTGGAGGCTTCAAGGAGCCATCTTTGAAGGTAAAGGTCCAACCTTGTGGTGTATTTTCGTGCTCTTGCAAAGTCAAAATCTTTGAGCCTTGTTAGAGAGCTCCAAGAGCCTTCTTTTGCTGAGTTTGAACCTCCATTGGTATACCTTGAACTTTCCTTTGAATTTTCCTGAAAATGGCTTGTTTATGTTATGAAATGAGTTAACTTTAATCATTCAAGCTTAGGGTTGTTAATCTAAGGCTAATAAGTGGTAATGAACATCTGTTTTGGGTCAAAACCGAACCTTGGGTGACATTTTGACTTCGCATGTAGAAAAAATCTGCAGAAAACTGTTCTGCCCGCGTGGTAATCGATTACTTTTGGTTGGTAATCAATTACCATGTGCAGTAATCGATTACCTTGCTGGTGGTAATCGATTACCATGTGCAGTAATCGATTACCAGGTCCTTGGTGATCAATTACCACCTGTGAAAATGACCAGAAACCAGTTTTGTGCGTGGGACAATTCCCATTTGGGCTTGATGGCCTAGGAAGTTGGTGTTACTGTTGGGAAACAGTGATACCTATAATTAAGGGACTTAGTGCTTGATAATTATGAACTAGAAAAGAAGTAATCGAATAAGGAAATGTTGTCATAATGAAATGAACCTTTAAAGTATCGTTATTGATAATATTTCTCATATAAACAGATTGTGATTGTGCTGTTTGTGGGTCTTAAGCTTGTGCGGACTCTTGGCTTGGATAGTTAGCTTGCAAGGTAAGCTTTTGTGTCCTCGGTTTAGCCATGTTGTGGTTCCACCATGTCCCATGGGGGTATGGTTATATGCATGTTGTGTTACATGCTTTTGATGTTTTGGAAATGCTATTGAGTTTTTATATGCTAGTGCCTTGTTAATATGCATGTGGTGTTCCACCTATACGGTAAGTCTGAGTATGTGGTACATACAATATGGTGAGGCTATGGGTGAGGTGCAAGCAGTGTTCCTTGTACTATATGTAGGTAATAGACGTATTCCTACATTTCTCTGGCCAGTAGAATAGTTAAACACACATGGCATGAATATCTGTTTCACTGCATAGTTTTGGGAACTTATATTGAATTACTGTTTTTAGAACTTATATTGCACATGTAAGTGAGCTTGGGGTGGAAGATCCTTGAGGACCCCATGTCTTACTGAGATTTCTGGTTTAGAGATCTCACCCCACGTTTGGGGAATGCTTATTTCAGGTTCAGGTAATGCGGGGGTTGAGACCTCTAGTGGCAGGAGACCAGAGCTTAGCTGATAGATGTTACATGTTTATGCTGCTTATGCTGATATGCTGTTATGATTGGATGCTGGATCCTATTTACTGTCTTATGCTTTTAGCTTCAGTTTATAGATTTCTCTGTTGAGACTTTGTTGGTTATGTTGTTGATTTGGTGAGCATGGGGATTGTCCATGCCACATAGACTTGATTATGTCTTGTTTTATGTTGGAGTTGTAATAATGTATCAGGATTATTGTCCGAACTACGTGTAGTGGATCCGTGACATAGATACTCACTTTATCTATATTATGAGGTATTTTAGTTAGATGTCTATTTGCAACTTACATACAGGCGATATTTTATGAAAATGATTAAGTAATCAACTTGGCTAAGTATAATGACGTCATAATTGAAAAGAAAAAAATATTCTGCATTTTTAATTAAGCGCAGCTTAATACAATGATATGTTAACAAACCGAGTATACACGCGGTGTTACAGTATCTTTTGGGCAATTAGAACTTAGACCTTAGGGAGAGATCAGGGGCTCTCCAACACCTCTGAATCTATCTTTCTTTATTTCCTTATTTTGTATTTCCAATTCAGTTCTGTAATTAGGAAGTTATAGGATAAATATTGTGATGGAGTTCTCATGTAATTGATAGTGTTGATTTGCTAAATTTAATACAAATTGTCTCTATTTTCCGTTCTATTTTGGCAATTGTTGTTTAGATTGTTACAACTACATAAGAATTTCTTTTACTATTTAAGAATTTCTCATCTCTAGATAAATAGACTTATACACAAATTTGTAACACAAGGAGGATTCTATTGTTGGGTTAAATTTTAATGAGATAAAAATAGAAAATAGAAAATAGAAATGTGAAGAGTTTTCCGGTGAAGAGTCATGTCCTTAGGTTTGTGTTAGTGGACATTAATGAGTCAGTTATGTCAGTTAGAATATTAATGAGTCAGTTATGTCAGTTATAAAGTAATGAGGTGTTATGTGTGGAGTTATGTTGGTCAGTTTTATAGCTTATAAATAGCCTTTGATAGTTTGTATGAAAAGTAGATCAAGAGAAAAGTAGATCAAGAGAAAAACAGAAAGAGCAAGAAAGCAAGAATAGAAAAGAAAAGTTTTTTTGTAGATACACAAGTATGGTTGTCTCTTGCATCTGTGTGGATATTCAATTCTAACAAATTGGTATCAGAGCTTGGGCTATGGAGGAAAAGAACGAGATGGAAGTGCCACTCTTTTATGGAGATAAAGATGAAGCATTGGTCTTCTTACTTTGAAGCGGACAAATGGCATGAAGCTTTGCGTAGATTCAGAGGAAGCGCAATCAAATGGTTCCGTACATGGGACTGCCGCGATTTTAATAACATGTGGAAGAATTTTCAAATAGCCTTTATAGTGAAATATTTACCTGGACGGTTTGATCTGATTGATGAAGAAGAAGATGAAATCATCAATGATGATGATGAAGATGAGGAGAATCATGCGGATGAAGAAGAGATCGAGATGGCGGAGTCCGAGGTTGCCAACGACAACGTATCTGCGGAGAAGATCGACGCGTTGGAGCGTGAGAGTGATGAATCAGAGAAAAAGACGATGATTGCGGCTATGAGAGCCGAGATCGAAGATGCTGAGAGCGGCGAGTCAATTCAGAAGCCGGATAGAGAGGATAAGGAAGAAGACGAGATGTTGAAAGAGCTTGAGAAGCTAGCAAAGGAACGAGAAGCGTGGAATCCGAGATGCTTGATGGAGACCGGCTTGGAGGAGACTGCGAATCCGAGTCTCATGTTGATAAACGGGATGAGGGAGATCCCGGCTAAATCACCGAGTTCATGTTTTGGAGAAGAGCTCGACCCCGGCGTGATGAGGTTGATGTCGGAGACCGGCATAGGTGCGGTTCGGGTTGGAAGTCAGAAGTCGAAGTCTGCATTGAATTTATGGTGGAAGTGGAAGATGTCGACACCACCGAAAAGAGACCATTTCCCTGGAGGACGGTGGTCTGAGATTCCATTGTTGAGGCGCGTGGAAGCTGGACTCGATGAAGAAGAACCCGACGATGAAGAAACTGAAAGCGGAAAGATGGAAAGTGTGATTGTGGATAGGGAACCCGGCGATGAGGAGCCTAGAGTTACTTTTATGGTGGAATCATTTTGGCTCAAGTGTAAACCAGAAGAAGATCGTGGGGCGGAATCAGAAAATGATGCGTTGAGTTATTTGGTTGATGATGGGAATCAACGGTCCTCAATGAGTGATGGGGTTACTGTGGTTAAAGAGGCCCAACGTGCTATTAATGTAGCACATGTTGAATCTGAAAGTATTAAAATTGGCATAGGTGTTGTAAAACTAATGGGACGTTATAGTGATACAGATACTGATCAGTATGATGACTTGTGTGAAGATCATACATGTAAGAATGGATGTGGAAGTATATTGGAGGATGAGGTCGACAGAGGAACATTCAAGACTGTCTATCTTCCACCAATGAAGGAACCGCCGGACAAAAAAAAAAATATTGAAGAAAGGAGTGCAACATGGAAGCAGCGCGAAAAAAATCAACCGGTGGAAAATTCAAAAAAAAAGAATTAAAATTTAAGGGGGAGTTTTGTTGGGTTAAATTTTAATGAGATAAAAATAGAAAATAGAAAATAGAAATGTGAAGAGTTTTCCGGTGAAGAGTCATGTCCTTAGGTTTGTGTTAGTGGACATTAATGAGTCAGTTATGTCAGTTATAGAGTAATGAGGTGTTATGTGTGGAGTTATGTTGGTCAGTTTTATAGCTTATAAATAGCCTTTGATAGTTTGTATGAAAAGTAGATCAAGAGAAAAGTAGATCAAGAGAAAAACAGAAAGAGCAAGAAAGCAAGAATAGAAAAGAAAAGTTTTTTTTGTAGATACACAAGTATGGTTGTCTCTTGCATCTGTGTGGATATTCAATTCTAACATCTATACATCCCAATAATAATTTTATAAGCACAAAATGCAAAGTGTTGAGGCGAGTATACAAAAACAGTTCATACCTTTTTAAGTGAGATAAAGACTTGCTCGTCTGTTGACTCTGTTGGAGAACTATCTTGACCCTTTAAAAGAATCTCCAGCATAACATCTATTTCTTTTAAAGTAGGCCATTCTTCAATGTGCACTCCAGGATAAATGCACCCCAGCTTTGGCAAATTCCGCAGCCTCAATGAAGTTATGTTGGGCAATATAATAGATTCTTTGTTTTCTTCTTCTTTGGTTGCTTCATCCTTTGCAAAAATTTCCTCTAACCCTTCACAGTTTTTCACATGAAGTTCTTGTAGTCCATCTTTGGCTACTGATGCTGGGAACAAACTTTTTATACTTTCACATCCATCAACATAAACTTCTTCTAGAAATGGAAGGCGGAGTCTTCCTTGAGAATCCTTACACCAAATGTGTTTTAGACTTGGCAACTGGTCCAAAATAAGTTTCTTCAATCGAATGGAGAAGGGATCAGAAGCACTTCCCATATAAATCTTATCATCAAATATTGCCGTAACCAAATTACAATTTTGCACTTGCAATTCTTCCAAGTTACTTAGGAAAGGAAGTAAATGAGAAGGTAGTATGGCATCTGATAAAAAATCACACCTAACCACAACTAAACAAGTTAAGTTGAAGAAACACCAGCTTGGGACTGGGACTGGCTCTCGCTTAAGCCATATCTCTTCCAATATTGGATGATCCCCGAACTGTATACGTTGCCTGGTAAGCTACAGAATAAGATAAGAAACTACTCAGTACTTAATACTGACGAAAGGATGCATACTATTTGTTATTTTGTAGAGTTTCAAATGTGATGTACAACCTTTTTTTATTGGTTAAATTGAAATATTATAATTCCTCGATTTCTCTTCTTCGCAAATCTCTTTTGTTCATCATTATACCTCACTATAAGCATTTTCCTTTCTACTAAATGGAAGGATTGTTCCATCAAAAGCTTAGAACAATACATGACTTGGCATTTGAGCGCTTGATTGTTTTGTACAACAATGTTATTTTATATATTTACATATGATTATAAATTTACATAATACTAAATAAAAATTGAAGAACAAAGGAGCCATGCATTGAGTTTTCCCCGAAGTTACTGCAAAAGCAATCAACAGAGGTGTAAAATGTAAAGTCCCCTCTATAATGTAAATGGCACTATGACCCATTTTTTAAAAAAACACGAATATTGTAAATGGCTAACATTTCTTGCGAGATAAATAGTAAAATGTACTCATAAATATAATGATAGAAAAGTCATTAAGTTACTAACAAATTATCAAAATATTAGAATCATAACAGTAAGGAAAGGTAGTATATAGATATTGTTACCCGATGCTATAGTTGATTGTTTGGATAAGGCTCGTATATATGAAGAGATTATAATTAAACGGACGCAAAAATTGAGGTCATACTTGATTGATTGGGTGAAGTCCTTACCTGTTGTAGACGGAGCAATTTTTTCACCGAGGCTTTAACATCTTCATGGAAGATCAAATCATCATTTGAGTCGGCGGAACCTTGAATTCCTCTAAAAGAACTCGCATCTACTGATCCTTGGGAAAAAATTTCCATCTTAGAACAATTCAGTATGTCCACTTGTATCAGAGACGGTAATTCCAAAGTTTCGTTGCCTGAATAAAAATATTTCAGCTCATATAATTTTTTTAAAATTATCCAGCTGAGCCGCTCAAATTTGATCCCTTCCGAAGTTGTTTCATCTTGCTCTTTTTTCACTATTTCTTTCATTGATTTACAATCCTCGACTTCAATCTTCTCAAGGTTCTTTAATACTTTTACTGTTGAGGATGTGAACAAGTACTCCAATTTATAACATCCCGATACACTCAATTCCTTTAGATTGGAGAAAGATACATCAGAATGAGAATGTACTAATGTTTTCAACTCACGACAGTCGATAACGTATAATTTGTATAGCTTCTCACAGAGTGTGTTTAACCATGATGAGTCCTCTGACCCGATGGACTTGAGCTCCTTAACTATGTTCAGTGTCAATACCTTCAAGTGTCCGGGCATCCCTTGTTTACCAATTTCGGGCATTTGTGGGAGCACAGATGTAGTCATTTCTTCTAAATTGGGTGCCTTCTCGAGTATTCCAAAGGGCATAATAGGCTCCTTATTATTATACACATCAGAAAACAGCACAAGATTTTTTAAGGAATTGAGTTCTACCGTAAACTGTCCGAACATTGACCTTAACTCAGAAGTGTGTTTCCACTGGAGCACCAAGACCTCCAGGTTGGAAATGGCCTAGTAAAGGCAAAACAAATAGAAAAGAAAGGGCTGTGAATTAGAAGATGAAAAGAATAAAAGCTGAGAGAGTTCTAGGCTCTCAATTATTTTACACAAAACTGGGGTATTTTTGGAAATAAATTATCAAAATTGGGGATTAAAAAACTATTTGCTAGTTTGGTACAGTTTTAAGCACATTAAAATTATTTTATATCAACAGACAACAATCATTAGTTTAAGTTGCAAGAGGCTTGTTACTCGTAACCGGGTCTCAGAAACATGGACAAATAATATATCGGTTGAGGATTTATCCGGTCAATCGAAATAAGTTATCTTTGGGGCAAAAATCAAAATGTTTTTGTAATTTTAGTATATTACTGAATTATATTAGTCTTTATCATTATAATTTTTTAATCTTATAGCTCCAAAATGACGTCGTTTTGGACTCACCGGATAAATCTTTTACCCTCTCTCTCTCTCTCTCTATATATATATATATATATATATATATATATATATATATATATATATATATGGGTTCGCTTTTTGTCATGTCACATAACAAGAGCATTTTCCTGCACACAAAATCAAGTGCACGCTTAAAAAAAAAAAAGTTAGGATACAGAACCAGATCCTTATTGCAGGAATGGCACTGTATGGGTTCACTTTTTGTCATGTCACATAACAAGAGCATTTTCTTGCACACAAAATCAAGTGCACGCTTAAAAAAAAAAAATTAGGATACAGAACCAGATCCTTATTGCAGGAATGAACAGTGTCATTCCTGCAATATGATTCTTATATTTTCATATATATATATATATATATATATATGACAAAATCATTTATGCAGCCATTGCACATACAACAAGCCAGGATATGGACCTGAATCCTAAAATACGGTTCCGTATCCTAGTTTTTTTTCTTTAAGAAAAGCAATGTGACCCACTTTTTGGTGTCAGCCGGAGATAATAGCTTTCTGCAGTCAGTGCAAAAAGAGTGTCCCATATATATATATATATATAATTTGATTTCAAGCTACTTACCCATTGATGTGCTCTTTGAAATAGCACCAGCTTGCAATCCACCACAAATAAATAATTTAAAGCGGGGCATTCCAAAGGGATTGTTTCAGGGCAAAAGTGAGCGAGTTGTGGCAAATCATAAAGACTGAGCGAGGTTAGACAAGGGAACACAAACTTTTCTCTTACTTGTGCTGCTGCTGCTGCTTCTTTCTTTCCAACAATTTCTTTCAACTCATTACAAAATTGTACTGTAAGTTGCTCAAGTTTCTTAAGATTTTTGGCCAGGGCGGCAGGAAACAGAGTTTCCAATTTTTCACAACAATGAACAAAGACTTCTTGCAGATTTTGAAATATGAGAATTCCTTGACCATTCTTTTCCCACACATGTGTCAGCTCATTTAGCCATTTTAAAGTCAACTTCTTCAACTGGAATGTCGTTCCTATAATCTCAGTGTCAATGTCGTTCATATCAAAAATTGCCTTTACTTCGTCACAATGCTCTACTTCCAATTCTTTTAATCTATTTAAACAAGGAAGAACATGTGATGGAATTGCGTATGGTGATTTAATTTTACAGTTGACCAGCTTCAAAGTTTTCAAACTGTAAAACCAATTGTTTTGTATTCTAACTCCACCATCCCAGGTTGTTCTAGCTCATGATGTTCAGAAAGACTCATCTCGTCCATGCCTTCAAAAAATTTCTGTGAATATTGCAAATAAATATATCATCAGATTTATCATATTTCATCTGCCCCAAATGACAGCCTATGAACACCATGACACTGCTTTTCTAATCAATATCATTAAAATTGAAAAGAAAAACTCGAGCAAGTAGTAAAATAGATAACAGCTGAATCTCAGTACTAAATCATTATAATCATTCATTTTTTTTATGCATATCATTATTTGTTATAAATTAATTATTAAAAGAGAAATGTAAAAGAAGACAACACAAAAGAAAATGAAAATTCAGTTCATAAGTTTATACGCACGTACCTTTTCAACAAACATTTTTTGTATAGTATCTTTTAAATGACCATGCCAGGACCATCTTTTCTCTTGTTCATGCACAACATATATTTTTTGTAATATTGACGTGCACTTGACTTCTTTAGATAAATTTTCCATTTTGGTACAACCACTCACTACTAATTTCTCCAATGATGGGAACTCGAAGACACAATTCTTTGAGCTGCAGAAACTTTTGAGTTTCTTCAGTGACACAAGTTCTAGACTTTTTAATTGTTTGAAAACAATGTCAACTTTGTCTTCATTTCCTTGCACTGACACAATTTCCTTCAGAGATTCACATTTGATTACCTTCATTGTTCTAAGATGAATCAAGCTTTTTGCAGTCGATGGTGGCATTAAATTTTCTAATCCATTACAATTAACCACTTCCAGATCTGTCAAGTAAGTAAGAGACACAGAGGAAGGCACTATAGAGACCAAACAAGGACAGCTTTCTAAAATGAAGAACTCTATCCTTTGAAGAAGTATGTCTCGTTCAAAGCCTATCTTCTCAAGCTTAGGCAAGTCTATTAACTTCAAGCTTTTTAGCTCTGGAACAACCCCCAATTTTTGAATTTCAGGAGGCCTTCTGAGAGGAACCATCTCTTTAAAGAAGCAATGAATCAATGATAGGCTTTTCAGATTAGGATTGCTATGAAGGAAAGAATATAGAACCTCTGTATTATATAATTTAGACAAGCGAAGCTCTTGTAATTTGTTCCTTCGATAGTTCCCTTCCCCCATGTAGCTGCTTGACAACTTTACATGCCACGACTCAATTTGCAAGGACTTCAACTGATTGATTACCTGTAAGAAATAGACGATGAAAAATAATATAAATATATGAAAAGATTTTTACTCTATTTTCCTATAATTTAGTAAGATTTCTAAAGATTTGAAAGGCTTACTAATACCTCTTTAGGAAAGAGCACAAACTTTCCTTCCGCATCTGCGGTTTCTTTTCTGAATGGTTCCAGCTTGTCACAAAGTTCAACACACAAGTCGTTCAATTTTGGACAACTTAATTTATATGGTCTTGGATAGAAACTCTCAAGGTTTGGTAGCTTCGAAAATTTGATGGTGATCATATTAGGAAACTCAAATGATGGATTAGAATTGCTTGAGTCGGTGTTGGTACCTTTTCCCCTGGCAACAATTTCCCTCAAATCAGAGCAATCCCATATCACAAGGTATTCAAGATTGGGAAGACACTTGGCTTCATAAATTGGAAATATATATTCCAAGATGCCACAATCATGAACCCATATCTTTTGCAGCTTTTTCAAGTTAAGAATAACTTCCCAGTCTTCGTTCTTTTTCCATACATGCTTCAATTTTGGGAGTCCTTCTAAATGAACATCTTGCAAGTTGGCTACATCGCTAGCATCTCCATTTAAATCATTTAGGTCAAATATCTCTTTCATTGACCGGCAATTAGTAACACTCAAGTTGCATAGACTCCGAAATATTCCCTTCATGTAACAAGGAAAAACATTGACAAATTTATCGCACTTCTCAATGATCAGAGTATCCAGTTTACCAAAGGAATCTGAAGGGAGTTCATAATTCCATATCTCATGAAGACGTTTCATGCTACTTAGTTTGATTTTCTTCAAATTTGGAAAGATGCTACCCTGCTTTAGTTCACAATTGCCATAAGTTAATCCAATTAATATAGATTTCAAATATAAAGCAAACCAAATCAATAAAGAGAAAGCAGAAAGTAACTGAATTATAAAAGTTTTAATTGTGGTTTGGTTAAGAAATTATTGTATTACTACTACAGCAATTGTGAAAAAAAATTAAAAAAAAAATTGGACTAATACGAATTTTACAAATAACAACACAAACAAAATCAGCCACCATAATTCTCAAAATCATTATAGTGCAGCTGCGGACTGTGATTCAAAATCTTAATTATAGGAGAGATTGAAGACATGTTATTTTAGGGTGCTTCATACTTTTGCAAATTGTATGTACGTTAACGAATTAGTTTACAATATCAAGGGACTCATGAGAAATAGAGATTTCAAATTCTCTGCATGCAAGATAATCGAATCTAACATGCAAGGATATTCAAGTTCAACATTAAAATTAAGGCGTACAAAGAGATGTAAAAATCGAATCTAACCCCACCCAACTGTTGTACCTTTGTTTCAGTATGACTACCATGCTCTTGGCGAAAGATGTGTTCCATGTTTTCACATTCGCTTACGGAAAGGCTTTGAAGATTCACCAGAGTCTTGGCCATTGAAAATGATAATAAATATTTTAAATCCCAACATTCATTGACATCCAAGTGAATCAAATTTTGAAAACTAGAACATAATGAAGGTTGGTCACTCCATATTATGTCGATGTGGATCAAGGACAACTCCATTCTCTCTAATTTGGGAACTATAACCTACAAAGGAAGACACATTATGGTCACCAAAAATTAAATAATTAATTTTGACTTTCCCAAATTAATTTTCTCTACAGTAAAGAAATATTTTTTAAGTTTACAACTCAGAGTTTGTCCCTTTTAGTTACAACAAATAAAATTTGGAAGAGTTTGACATGCAACAGATAAACAAAACTATATGATAGTTTTAAACACACCTTTTCGTGGAATAGTTTTCTCATTTCCCCTCCCGTTGATGAAATGGGACAGAATCCAGTAATTTGAGGTAAAGATTGTAGTGACAAAGTACGTAATTCAAGAAACTCAAGATGCTCAGTGTTACTTCGTGTTTCCACAGGGACAATCTTCACAATCTCCTTCAGAGTGTTACATTCAGAAACTTCAATTGTTTCAAGAACTGTTAGATGTCTAACCATAGAAATGTTGAAAATGCACTTCAATTGACCGCATTGATAGATCTTGACGGCTTTCAATTTGCCAAATGAGAATGCTGAAAGTTTACATGAGCATATTGTATCCAACTTCTTGAGATCATAGAGATACAACGACTCCAATTTAAGAAAAGCCTCCTCAGGTTGCTCTGTGTGTGTTGGGTTGATGAGAGATTGAATGTGGGAATTGCTTACAATGCACAAATGTTTTAGATATAGAAATCCTTTCAAATTCAAACTATAAAAAATATCTTGAACACCATTGAGGTCTTCTAACAACAAAATCTCAACTTTGTTAAACAACATTTTGATACCCATTAGAGAATGAATGTCAAAGCTATCATTTAATTGTATTGCCAAAAATCTTGATGTTTCATACTTCTGTGGCACCTTGAAATCTGTCTTTAAGTATGCCTTCAAATCTCCAATAATAATCTTGTAACTATATAACTTGTCAAAGAACAAGTTGTTTGGAAAATGGTCAACATTTGGGATTTTTAAGTCCACAGTTGTCAACAGATTCAGATGCCTCAACTCAGAAAGACTAGCACGTTCACTTTGATTTGTTTGTCCTTCAATGCTCCATTGAATCAATGTGTTTCCAATATACAGTTCTTCTAAACTAATCAAACTGTTTATTACATTGGATGGAATTTTTTGAAGTTTGGAGCAATTACTGATGTCAAGAATTTGAAGCTTTGTCAACTCTTTCAATTCAACAGGCAATTTTTCAATATCAGATCTTGAAAAACTAAGAATTCTTAAGTTTTTCAATTCACCTATATTGGATAATTTCTCACCCAGCGTGCATTCCTCCAAACAAAGCATTCTGAGCTTTGTTAGGCATGTAACTGATGAAGGTAAGGGTGATAGATCAAAGCCAGTCAATATCAATACTTTGAGCTCTTTCATTTTTTTGAAAAAGTTGTCTGGTAATGTCAGACGTGGATAACTATTATCAACATGGAAGAATCTAAGTTGTGGGCAATTTATCATTCTAGGAAACCCGCCAATGATATCACAATGTTGTAAGGAAATACCAGCGTACCTTTTAAGTTTATCCTCATCAGGCCATTCATCTATTTTTCCCTTTGTCACTGTAAATACATGCTTCTCCTCCAATGCTATTGACAAAGCCGCACTGCGAACAATATCTTGCATCGTGAAATGATCATTTGAATAACTTTCAGACAACAAACCAGACTCTTTTAGCTTTCCCACCAATGCATATACTTTACATCTGGCTTCCCTTACTGTGGAGATTCCTTGACGAAAACCCAAACCAATGTAGGATCTCACCAAGTCCATAATCAATGCATCATGACCCATGCGAGCACATAGTAAGAAAGTATACTTGAGCTCCTCGTTTTCTAAAAGATCATAACTCAACTTTGTAGAGAACTCAGGTGCTCCCATTAAATTTTTCCCTTCAAGCTCTCGGTTAATGTTCTCCCATACCAAGCGGCTTTGATTTTTTAATGCCCTTGCAGTTGTTACAATTGATATTGGCAGTCCATTACATTTCTTGGCAATTTGAGCTGCTAATATTTCCAAATCCGAATTTGTATCACCTATTGCAGCCTTTTTCTTAAACAACGTCTCTGCTTCCTTATCCTTTAAGACTTCCACAGAGAAGATAGAGTTTCCTTTGCCTTCCATCTGACTTAATAACACTTGTTTACTTTCAGAAATCATCAAAACTTTGTAACGACTAAGAGTTTCTTCTGTTTTCATCGCATTGGATTCACTTGGGTGTTTTTTTGACTTCATCATATTGGCAGCACCAAGTTCTGTTTTCTCCTTACTTTGAGCCGTACGAGATTTTTCCGTTTCAGGTTCTGTTTTCTCCTTACTTTGAGCTGCATGGGATTTTTCCGTTTCAGTAATACTGTGAGCCCCAGGGGATTTCCTTTCATCATCATCGCATGGAATCCCTAGCATATTGAAGTCAATTTCTGCCCAAAGATCATCAAGGATTACGAGGGTGCTTTCTTTATCATTCTTTAATCTCTTTTGTATACGAGCAGCTCTTGCAATATCACTTTCCTCATCCAATTTCATCCCCAGCATATCAGCAATTTCTCCTTGGATTTTTCTTATGTCAGCATTCCTTGTTATGCTTGACATGGTGACTACATCGAACATCTTAGCTTTCAAGGCTTCCTTAGCAACTCTTTTGACTAAACTGGTCTTGCCCACACCACTCAACCCATGAAGTCCAATCATTCTAACATTTGGGTCTTCCAATGCTGCATTAATCTTGTTCACAGTTTCATCTCTTGAGGGAAAGCTTTCATAACCAACATTAGTAAAAAAGGCAACCATGGAGGGTGGACCAAGCCAATAAGAAACTGCATCATGCTTTGCTTTTTGCTCTAGTGCATTAACCTTCCTTGTAATATTAAATGCTTTTTTGCTTAGGTGATACCTTATCCCGGGCTTAGGAAGGAAACCACTTGTAAAGAAGTCAAACACTGCATGTTTATTGCATTCGTCCCCATCAAAATCTTCATATTCAGAAATTATTTTATCCACCCCTTCTATCCATTCTTTAACTTCTTCTGCAAATCTTCTTCCATATCGGTTTTCTTCCTCCTCAACTTTATGTTGAACTACATCTCTCACCTTTTTGAGACTTTGAACACAAACTTTTAGTTCTGCAACTCTTGCCTCGTATTGCAATAAAGGAATCACCAATTGTTGCTTTAGCCACGCCTTGGTCTGAGGTGACATTAGGAATTGAACAACATGTTGTAGAGGATCCATCTCTCATCATTCACTTGACTCTATTGAGCTTTATATCAACCACATCTTCTGCACGCACGTAAACAAATAATATTAATTATGATGAATAAAAGAAAAAAATGTAAATTAATAAATTTAAATTAATAGATGAGGTGGGCTTATCATTTCACCGATTTTTATCGAAAACCTAAATTATAAGAAACAAACATCTTTTTTATATATATATATAGGGATAGGTTATTGTGCCTACTCCCATTTTGCCTACTTTTACCTACCCCTCTCAACATCGTTGGATTACAATCTCATCTAACGGTTCAAATTCAAAAGTTAAATAAAACCCTTTTACTCTTTTTTTCTCTCTCTCTAACTCCACTCTTCTTCCCCCCTCTCTCTCTCTCTGACTCCACCCTTATTCTCTTCTCCCTTGCTTGCGATGAAGAAGACGTACTTGCAAATATGTCTCCCACTGGAAACCAGATACGTTGCTAAGAAACAAAATCGATGGTAGAATTCATGCCTTAACATCCACAGATTAAAAAAAAAAAAGAAACCAAAATATTAAAAAGAACTACGATGCAAGCAAGAACAAATAATACGACATCATCTTTTTCTTTGTTAAAAAAACAGGAATGACAAATTTTATTAAAGATTCGAAAGCTGCAAACACCAAAGTATTCGTGCATAAACTCAAAATTGAGTATCCAATATTATCATCCTGGAAGAAAAGAAGAAGAAAATACAAATTTCTACAGTACTCTGCTTTTGTTACCCTTAGAAGAAAATAAGCCATTATTTAGGGCGTTGAATAATTAGGGTTGTTTGGGTTGAAACAAAGGTAAATAAAACTAGATCGAATCGTTTAACACTACGTTTGTTAGATCACATTTGGAATGAGAGAGGGAGAGTCTATTTAATGGAATCAAAAAGCCCTTTCCCATCTCTGTTGGTTTAGGTTTCAGCGAGGCCCAGATTCTGCACAAAGATGGGATCAATCATCAGTCATCGACAAGCAACACCGCCGTAAAAAGGCAACAAAATCAAAAATCCAAATATACAGAAACCACCCTAAGATGGGAAAAAGACAAAGTTATCAATTTCATTATGAGACGGAACGTGCTACAAGAACCCTAACATGCTCTGGCAAATTCTATCACTTTAATTTATATACTCCAATTAACTTGTTCTTTTCCAATTCAGCCCTTCTCAGAATACAAGTGCATGGACAAAGGATGAAGAATATTTTCGTAATCGTAAAATGTAGACTTGGGCGTCTTCTTCATCGCACACAAGCGAGGAGAGAGAAAGGGTGGAGTTAGAGAGAGAGAGAAAGAAAGAGCAGAGTTAGAGAGAGAGAAAAAAGAGTAAAAGGGTTTTATTTATCTTTTGAATCTGAACCGTTAGATGAGATTGTAATCCAACGATGTTGAGAGAAGTAGGTAAAGGTAGGAAAAATGAGAGTAGGCACAATAACCTATCCCATATATATATATATCGAAAAGCAAAAATTTTACATCCTCGAAATGAGTGAAAATAATTACAATTTTAGACTCGTTGATTAAAAAATAACTCAATGAACAGCTTCCAAAATATCATTATTTTAGATTTGATGATTCAAAAGCATTGCCTGAAGCAAATGTGAACTTTATAAAAGACTCTAGCCATAGAGGGCTCTGAGTGCAGACAAGGATATAACCATTAAAGGGATGATAAATAATGGAGTAAATACCCTTTTTGGTCCTCAGCAAATTTCACGACGCCCGTATTAGTCCCTAGCAAATAAAAAGGACCATCGTGGTCCCTAAGAAATTCAAAATGGACCCTTTTAATCCCTAAAAGGACTAAAATGGGTCCATTTTGAATTTCTTAGGGACCACGATGAGCCTTTTTATTTGCTAGGGACTAAAGCGGGCATCGCGAAATTTGCTGAGGACCAAAAAGAGTATTTACTCTAAAAAATATTACCTTCGGTCAAATAATGACAAAGGAAATAAGTTACAAATATGACTAATGAAATGAATGTAGCTATTTAAAATAAAGGCAAGGATACAATAGTGTATACCTTTATGTGTATCATTATATTTTGTTAGATATATTGGGTTTAGCATAAAGTGGTGTTATAGACATTGATATATATTTATTGGTTGTCATTAATTGTTACCATAGTGTCATTATTTGACTATAAAACAATAACATTATTCGGTGGTGATTTTAGTTTGTAATTTTTAGCATTTATTTTTGTTATAATTTAATTTGTAAGTTCAACAGTTATTTTTATTCAATTTTTTAACTGTTAAGATATATTAATGATAATTAAAGTAATTATGATTATCATTAATATTACCTACAATAATTCCACTTTTTTCATTACAAAACCTCATCTATAAATATGAGCTTAACCTAACAAACCAAATCATTTCCATATTCTATCCAATTCCTTGCATCTCTCCATTTCCCTTCTCTTTTTCTTCTTATTCTCATCCCTTTCAAATTCTGTTGCAATTATTTCCCCTTAGCTGCCAACTACGCTTCCCTCACGAATCGCTCTTCTGCCAAGGAAGCCTTCAGACACGGAGTTCATGTAATCATAATCCTTAAGGTGTCATAGGTTAGTTTTATTTGAAATATTTTATATGTAATCTTAATTCTTAGGGTGTCATAGGTTAGTTTTATTAAAAATATGTTATATGTAATCTTGATCCTTAGGATATTATACGTTAGTTTTATAAGGAATTTGTTATATGTAATCATAACCCTTAGTTAATCCTAGATTCATTATATATGAATTGAGTTGGGTATTTTATTGGGTTCAATCTTAACCTCTAGAAAATCATAGGTTAATTATATATGAATTTTGTTGGGAATTCTGTTGTGTTTAATCTTAATCTCTAGGAAAGCACAAGATTAATTATATACTTATTTTCTTGGGTGTAATCCAAATTAATTAATGATAATAGGTTGAGATGTTGGATAATTAATTATGTGTAAGATGAATCTTATCTCTAATAATTAAATGTTGGATAATTCATTATGTGTGGTATTAATTTTACCTCTGATAAGATGTTGGATAATTAATGTGGAAATTATAATACTTTTGGATAATTAATATGGAAATTATGATACTCTTTGAGGAAATTTTCCAACTTTGTGGTTTGTGACAAGATTAAATTTTCCTAATTGTGTGTGATAAGTTAACGGTGAGAAGATAACTTTTGGGATATACCTCGTGAAAGTGAAGAACACAACCTTTGGGTTTTATACCTTTAATGTTATATGATGTGAAAATGATGTTATCCGTTTTTTCCAAAGTGGTACCTGGCAACAGATTTTCCTAGAATACTAGTAGCAACTTTGGTGGAGAGGTTTGCACACTAAGATTTGATGTTTTGATTATGGCCAAATTTAATTATATGTGGCTGGCAACAGGGTTTCCTAGGTCATATGAGTAGGCTAGTAAGAGGGTTTCCCGGGTCTACCATGATTCTCTTCTCCACTAAATGAACTAAATGAAACTAAATAAGATCAATAATGGCAATTGCATACTTGGATTGATGCTTGACTTGATTATGATGAATATCTGAGTTATAATTATCTTTATTGTGATTTGAATTGGAATTACCAGTTTTTGCTGATTGTTTGAGTTTTTGTTTATGTGCTACAATGATCCTTTGGGGGAGCAAACCTCAGTGAAACAAGTTGCGAACAGTAGCAGTGAGGATAACAACTAAGACATTTCAAGCTAGTCCTAAATATTACAATTTTATGCTTGGATTTAATAAAAGTATAAGACATATTTTAAGATAAACCTTAGAATCTGGTTTTACATTTGATGTTTTAATATTTATGATGAATATATTTTGCTATGGAGTATGATAAATTTAGCTTTGCACTTGTCCGTGTTACAGGTGTGGCTGTATCATTTCCCCAAATTATCTTTAATTTAGTTTTTCAATAGTTATATGGTCTTAATAAAATGGTTACATATAATTTTTGGCAATTATGTTATTATAAGTACTTTTAAAAATTGTTAAAAATTTGGAAGTGTTACAACCACACCTTTAGATGTAGCGTGTTCTCATTTGTCGGACGTGTGTTAGGGATGGTGGAGTAGTTCTTATCATTTCATCTGTATTGGCAATATCCTTAGTCAACTGTTTGTCCCCTATGAAATTATAGATTTTTCCCCAACGTTGTTTAGGCTTTTCTTTTTTGTGCCTCTATATATATTTGTTTTGTGTCTTCTTCTCCCATTTCTTCCATTTCAATTTCTAGAAGCTCCTATTGTGCTTCCAAAGGTTCTTTGCATTTGGGGACTTCTTGCTCACTTTTTTCCACAAGATTCTCTTCTCCCTATGATGCTTCTTGCTTAGGCCATTTTGTTATATTACATTGTTGTTGCCAATGGTTCTTCTTTGTTTGCTCTTAGCTCTTTCGGAAAATACTTCTCTAAACAACAGGTACCCATTCTAAACTTCTACCTTCCTTTTTAATTTAAGTTTTGTATACATTCATGGGTGGTTTTAGGAAGAAATCTGCAGCTGGAGATGTTGGCAATAAGAATAATGAGAATTAGGTAAAGAGACTCCTACCCAGGGTAAGGTATTGGTTCTTCAACGCCCCTAGTAGTGTTTTAAAAACGTAGTGTCGAAACGTAGAAACAGACCGTGTCTACGTTTTTATGACCAAAATCGAGTCAAAACGGTAGTTGAAACGAGTTTTGAGTCGAAACGGTTGAAACGCCATGTCAACTCGGTAAACTCGGTTGACTGGGCGAGTTTATTGAGTTTGCTCAGCTTTTTTTTTAAAATAAAAAGAGTTAGATCTGACGAAGAGGGGAGAAAGAGAAGCAAAGAAGATGAAGAAGGAGAAGAAGAGCTTTATGGCTAACACCTTCACCATTGTTGGTTGTTACTCCAACCCAAACCAAAACACAAAAGAAGAAGAACAACTCAAGTATGCGGTGGGGACCAAAAGCAATCATGACTATCTGGAGAAGATCTGGGCTGATAGGGTCGCTAAGAATG